ACAAATGAAAGAAAATGGAAACAGATGAAGACTTTAAAAATATAATGAGATGAATATTGAGCATATCAACTCCAGCTTAAAGTTATTTGAGTGTGTGTGTGTGTGTGTGTGTGTGTGTGTGCGTGTGCGTGCGCGTGCGTGCGTGTGTGCGCGCATTGAAACTGTTTATTGACAAATAATAATGGTTACAGTGGTGCAATTAAGATGAATGTTACAGTAGATGGACTTATGATGTCATTGATGTCCCATGTTGCTCAAGATAGTGTTTCGGAGACATTTGAAACTGCCATGTGAGTTTACGCAAGCCCACTCAACAACACATTCATTTGTTTATTCATTTAGATTCTGCCGATATTTATGATATAAGAAGCGGGAGAGATGGGATAACGTAGCAAAGGTCCTGAGCTTTTACTGGATCTCTTGATGTGTATTGACCTTTCACCATGTTAACAATACTGTAATTTATCCGTTTAGTTCTGTTAAACTTTAGTTTTATAAGGATCTTTTTTTGTATCAATTTTTTTTTTTGTATAGAGCAGCTTGTACATCATGTTCTGTAGAGTTGTGGCGTTGTAGTAGAGATGAGATGAGCTGCACTGGCTTTGCTCCTTGGAGCTGCCTGGGAGATGATCGTTTCCTGTGTCTGAAGATTCTCTGGCTCAACTAATCATCTGGAAGACCAGCAGTGCTTCTCTCTCTCTCTCTCTCTCTCTCTCTCTCTCTCTCTCTCTCTCTCTCTCTCTCTCTCTCTCTCTCTCTCTCTCTCTCTCTCTCTCTCTCTCTCTCTCTGACCTACAGTATCTATCTAACCCATCATTGCTGGGTCTATTCCTCACTTCCTCAGTTTTTGTGTGGTGTCTCACCTGAGCCTGAAACTGACTGGGACTGAATATGGTTATCATAGATTGAGTGAATGATTATACAAAAATGAATCAAATGGACAGATTATGTCAGGAGAGGATGGCTAAAAGTAAGTAAGTCTTTGTGGAAATGTGGAGGTTTATCCTTTTTTGTTTTTCTCTATCTGTTTCTGCTCAGTCATAAATTAATCAAATATAAATCAGTATGATAGAGGGAGATAATCATTTAGTGAGACAGCGGTCTGACTATCTGACCACGATCTGGTCAGAGAGAGCCTATCTGACCTGCTCTGCTTCTTTGTGCCAGGCATTTATTCATCTGCTGACCCACTGTACTTTGCTTTGTCTGATCAGCCTAAGGCCCAATACTAATAATAATAATAATAATAATAATAATAATAATAGTCCCTCGGACCAGAGCGTGACTACAAATAGATGAAATTTCCTGCATGCAGCACCTCATTATACACAGTGAAGCATTGTTTTTACCAAGCTGAGTGAGGGTTATTTATTTTTCTAATGGGACGTGTTTATTTTTGACTAATGGGACAGGCGCTGGGCACTTAGGCTCAGCTAAGCGTGTTTCAGCGTGTCTGTCGTCGCTGTGGTGAGGTAAGCGAACAAGCTGGAGGCCTACTATGAGCATACTGGACTTCCTGTCACAAGAGTTAGCCTGGGTCAAGCGGGTATGGGTGTCAGTGCTGTGCAATAATAGCACGATGGGAAGGGGAGTAAATTCTTTTATGACAGCTTCTTGAAAAGGAGGATGTTTGTAAAAAAAGGCGTTCCTTCACACCTCGAGAGAGAGGAAAAATACATTGCTTATGTTTCTGATAATAATACCTGCCCCATACATGCATGACTAGATTTCATTAACACATCACATTCAGCCTAAAGGCACAAGAGACATATCTCAAAGCCTGGGCACATGAACGGACAACAACCTAGTGCAACACTATGAATGCCTCCCAGGAAAAAAAGTCTGAAAGTGTGTACAGTTATTGTCATATTTAAACCAGCTCACTCCTTTACAATGGCCAGATTGTCACCCCACCTTTAAATGCGACTGTTGGGAACAGCAGTATATAAGTACAGTTAATTTATTATATATGTGACTTTTTAACAAACTACCATTTGCCACTTAAAGTCTCTACAATTCTACTTTCTAAAACCTGCCAACGACTGATCCTGTATGCCTTTGGTCCCCTCTGTGTCTATATTCTTCATTTAAAACATTTCTTGCTCACCTTCCCTCCCCGTTCTTCTCACTCTGCCTTTTTTGGTCAGCTATATTTCCTGATCTCTGAAGAAAACAAAAGCAACTTTGTCTGGCTGTCTTGTCTTTTGTCCCCCTTGCCTGTTTCCCCTTTCCTCACAGTTTGATAATCTAAAGCCCCTTTAAGCAAAGCGCTGCTCATTTTCGAACACACACACACATACACACACACACACACACTCTGTGTCTCATGTTTGTTTGTGTGCATCGGAAAGGCACAGTTCTAATTGAGGGGCGAAGCCACTTCAGATGCAGCGGGTGCCTTTCTCCCAGTGGGGGGGGACACAGATCTGCCTCTGGGGAGCACAATTAACGCCTTTTTATTGTTTACTAATGAATTACACACAGAGGAAGCAGGCATGCGTGTGTGAATTAGAGAGAAAATAGAGTTTGTTGGGAAGCAAAAACATGCAATGCCGTGTGTGTGTGTGTGTGTGTGTGTGTGTGTGTGTGTGTGTGTGTGTGTGTGTGTGTGTGTGTGTGTGTGTGTGTGTGTGTGTGTGTGTGTGTGTGTGTGTGTGTGTGTGTGCACTTTGTGTGTGGGTTCTATATTATTATGTTTGCTTAGTTGTGAGCTGACTTCTGAGTACCTTTCACATCACTTGTGATGATAATTTAATATAAATGAGCCTGTGTCAGCCTCCATTTAGTTCTGAGGGCAGGAAGCACAAACTTCTCCTGATTTCTTTCTTTTTATTCTCTCACTTTTTTTGCATGTATTTAAATGCAGAATTTCACAAGGCAGAAAACTGCTCTGATGCTCTCTCACTCAATCATTGATGTTATAGCAGGTGTTTCTCTATTTACATGTGACAGGAAATAGGTAGTTTGACAGAAAAGCAAGTTGCTTGAAAGTTTCAAGCAGAAAATGCAGCAGTATGTGATTCAGTGTTGTATTACGCACAACTGGCAAGATTGTGTGTTTGCATTGAGGATTCATAGACTTGTGCATGCCTTAAGGCCAATGTAAACAAATGCTAATGTAATTATAGAGGGGGCGTCGTAATAAACTGTAACTAAGATGATTGCACAGCACACAATGATCAGGTTAGTTAAGCTGTGATGTGTTATTGCTTTAAATGACTGGATGCACCAAGACTGATTTCTGTGTCGCTCTAATTGTTCATCACACTGAGCCCTACCATTTAACTGGGTTCAAATCCTGCCCAGGACTTTTATTTTGTGGCCTGTAATCCTTCCTTTTGCTGTGAAACTGTTCCTATAAAGGCAAGGATGCCAAAAAGCAAGAGAAATAGAGTGAATTCCGCCCCTATCACACGCTGTGTGTGTGTGTGTGTGTGTGTGTGTGTGTGTGTGTGTGTGTGTGTGTGTGTGTGTGTGTGTGTGTGTGTGTGTGTGTGTGCGCGCGCACATCTGTGTGGGTGAAGGCCTCAAGTGTTCCTCATCTTCCCCAGTATAATAGTGATTAGTAATTTTAGCTGTCGAGCAGTGCCAGTCAGTGTGAGCGTGATCCACTATGTCACCTGCTACAGGGGATTGCACACGCACACACACATCCATGTTGCATTAAGTGTGCGTCAGTCTGTCTGCAGTGCCTTGATGTGCGTTCCATCTAGAATACAGCAGCCTGACATCGCTGCATTAAAGGGGGTCATTATATTTCCCTGGCTGCCACCGAAAAGTGACGTTTTTACAAAGTGACAAGTTTACAGTTTGATAAATCAGATTTTTAGCTGTGGGTGGTGGGGGGGGCCCGGGAGAAGGAATGGTGGGAGAAAGAACCGGGTTGTCTGTGGAGGACGAGGAGGAGGAGGAGGAGGAGGAGGAGGAGGAGGAAGTGCTGCCTGTCAGCGACGCCCCGGCCCTGTCGTCTAAATAATGCTCCCAGGCAGCAGATTCAGATCCCATCCCCATTAGCATTTAATTTCTCTCTAATCCTACACACAGTCTCCATCGCTGCATGGTAACGAGGGCCGCCGTGCCACTGCGGCGCCGAAAAACCTCCGAGAGCAATCTACAGCGAGCTCGTCTTTTACAGCTCCGCGCCCTGTCGTAGCCATCATTCTTCCTTGACAATTAAGACCCTCAAATCTAATAGCAGTGATATTGGAATTACAGCAAGGCCCTTTTGAGGGTATGTCAGGAAAAAAAAAAAAGGTTGCCCCTCCCAATACAGCTGTCAAAGCACAAGGCCCTCCCCCGTTCATACCCGCTAAGCGTTTCTGATGCACACTCACACACACACATACACACACGATAGGAAGGGGAATATGTTGAGTCTTTGGCTGTGATCTTTGTAAAATGTGCTCTCTGTGCCCTCTTATCCAACTCTCCAAAGACTTGTTACAGCAGCTTTTGTTTTCTCTCTTCTCCTCTCTCTCTCTTTGTCTCTAAATTTCTCTTCATCTCATCCTCATTGATTCTCCCTGGTGTGTCAGAGATGTTGTTGCTTTCTGTTATTCACTAGCAGGGCTTTTACAGACGACTAGACTAGTAGATTGGTGAAGTTGTCCCCCGGTGCTCCACGAGGACAGTTTAAGGGAACATTCGCTCTAATGGTTGCAGTTAAAGATTATCATGGGTAAAATATATTTCAGCCTAAGGGACGTAACAGTTTTAGAGCTAGATTACATAGATAAAATTGAGTCAGTGTGGAGGCTGCCTGTCCTGTTGGGAACTTCGTAATATCTCGGGCAACAGGGTTGTGTAATAAACGGATAGATCAGCCTTTAAGACAACGCTTAGGAAAGCCTTTGCCCTAAAGCAACATACTGAGCCCCTACCAGCTCGAGGCCTTATTCTGCCCCTGACCTCTCAAAAGAATGAGAAACTAATTAAAATATCACATTATTATTGTTGACTAATTTTCTGTTTTGTTTTATCTGTCTGTTACATTTCTGCAGACTCCAGCAGAGCAGGCTAAAGTTCGAATGCATATGGTCCTGCAGGCTGCAGGTAAGCAAATGGTTATGCTTCTTTGTCTTCCCTCTATCTTTTTTGCTACAGTTAGAACTAAATCCAAAATGCCAACAACAACAAAGAATTTTGGTTCTTCTTATCGGTTCCTGAAATTCAAACAATAAACCAACCTATTCTACAGTGTGGTTCAGAACTGTAGCCATGAGCTGAGGCTTCATCATCTTCGTCATCCTGAGTCTGTCGTCTGCCTCACTGTGCTGAATCACTTATTTTCTAGGGAGTCATCTGTCAATATACATTTGTAGCCATGCTTGCGGCATGGCTCTAGCGAAACCATGTGATATCACCTAGGGCTATGTAGTATAGCAACCATTTACAATGTGTTTGGGGTAATATAGTTGGAGATATAGTACCACAAATTGTGAATTTTGATGCTGATTATTTGATCATTTATTTACTCTTATGCTTATATATGTCAGAAAGCTTATCAAATAATGTACTGTGTAGACATTGTGTGCAAGTGTGAATGTCACAGGCAGCGTACCATGGCCTTAGGCTTGAAAGTGCTGTCTTTTGTCCAAAGTCACCACTGACTCTGTCCATGAATCCGGACAGCCCAACACATGTTACACAACGTACCCAATGTACCCAGAGTTCAAATGATAAACCTTTAAAAAGTAACGGTGTAAAGCTTGGTTAATCTAGTTACTGTTTTATTAGAAACATCGAACTGTAATGCCACTTTAAAGAAAATGTGTAAATACCAGTAGTAATGTATCACAGCTCTACGACACAAATGATGCTGTACTGAGCTTGGAGTCACAGTATCACACACTCCACTCTGGACCTGGACGGGTTTAGTACTTGTTTTCCCACACACACTCACGGCACACCTCCCCACACAATCTCACATACACAGACAAATGCATACACACACTCTCCTGCTCTCTGCTTTGAGTGCTTCTGGGCCCATATTCACTGCAGCTTAATTTCAAACACTCCTCCCAGTACATAAGTCATAGATGTCACCATGCACACGGTGTATATATTCCAGTGTGTATTCGAGGGGTAGAGTTGCGAGCCAGATGTGACAGGCAGAGATTGACTGTGGAGAAAGATGTCTTCATGTTTACAGTCATGCGTGCGCATGCACACACACACACACACACACACTCACACAGTCACACACTCACACAGTCACACACTCACCCGCACACACCACACACACACACACACACACACACACACACACACACACACACGGCCCAGCACTTCAGAACAGGGCTCTAATTTCACCACAGGAAATATATGAAAGAACCAGGCATCTATACATCATCTATAAAGCACCCAGCAGCCACACACTTACCTCACTTAAGGCTTGTTCTGCCTTACTGTAGGCCACACAACAATGCTGCAGTCCCCTGCTGTGATTACACTGATTTTAACTTTGTGAGGCATTTTGTATGTACTTCATCATACTTCATCATACTTTGAATTAATTCAACATAGTTTATAAGCAGGAATTTGAGATTTGTTGGAGTTGGGGACATTTTGACTTAAGTTGTCCCTTGCTCAATAATGTTTTATATATCAGACACCCAGCCATCTCAAGGCTAATGTTGCACTAATGGTGGTGAAGCATCATAAAATTGAGCATGTGGCTTTGAGTGCAGTGGGCCAGACTGGTGCAGAAACAGGCCCAGGGCCAGACACAGGACTAGAGGAGTGGGTTTAATGCATTGGACATGTCTCTGGTTTTCCTCTTTTTCCTGGAGGCTTCCGAAAGAACAGGTTTATGGCTCAGTCAGATTGTCTTCACCAGAGAGCCCAGGCTGGCCTGTATCAGGCCTTCAGGTGCCCACGGTCATATCGCTCATAATGATATACAGTAAAATCCAAAAGACCAAAATCTTGAGGCATTTTGTAGTTGGTATTTTCTCTCTGCTGCCTTTTTTTCTGTCATTGCCCTCGCCAATTTTAATCATGTTTGTATAATTACAAGTATTAGGGATGGCTTTTTTTGTTTTAGTCCTCTGACCCTGCAGCTGCTAAGTCTTTTCCTGCCAAAATCTTCTAAATTCATCCGTCTCATACGTCTTCGTATTCTCTTCATTTTCTTTTCTCTGTCCCTCTCCGTCTATCTGTCCTCTCGCTCTCCGTATTAGTCTTTGTTCCAGTGTTGTTAGCGGACAGAGGGAGATAGGGATGGAAAGAGGGAGGGATGGAGGGCGAGAAGGAAGCAGCAGATGTTGGGAGGTTGTGTGAATGTTAATGTCCTGACGTAGCCGTGGAGCTTAAGCCTCCTCCTCCTCCTCCTTCCCTCCATTCCTCTCTGAGCGCCCGCCAGGCTTTCTCTCTCGGGGTCTCCTGACATCCTTAAAGCCCGTGGCTCTCCACTCCTCTCCTCTTCTCTGCTCTCTTCCACCTCTTTCTCTCCCATCCCCTCCCTCCCTCCTTTTGTCCGTCTATGGACTCTCTCTAGTCAGTAGAGAGCAGATCATCCCATGGCTAAAGCGGCTCAGGCCTTTGTGTTGGGGGGCTCTGTGGACCTGTAATGAGCCCCCTCGGCTGGCCCGCTGGCCTGCTTAGCGCTCACTGGGGGCTTTGAGAGAGAGAGAGAGAGAGAGAGAGAGAGAGAGAGAGAGAGTGTGTGAGTGTGTGAGTGTGAGTGTGTGTGTGTGCGCGGAGTGGGATGAGGAGGTGAGAGGAGGAGGGCAACACTGGCCCCCAATGAAAGAGCTGGATGGATATGTTTATGGGTCACTTCCTGCTTGGCCTACATATCAAACACACACACACACACACACACACACACACACACACACACACACACACACACACACACACACACACACACTATACTGCACCTCATATTTCCAAGACAAACTCAGTTGCTAATTTCAGCAATAATTTAATAAAATTATAAAGTTAATTTTGACGATTGAATTGTTTGTGACTTTACAGGCATCATTATTGTCATAATATGCATGAAATATATATATAAGATGCATACATTTAAAATAAAAATATGAATCACAATATAATATTTGAATTTCAAAGATGGTCATTACTGTCAGAAAATCACAGTTACAAGAGATTATTTCATTACTTCATTTTGTTTCACAGCTTGTCCCTGCTCAGGGTGCCTTATCCCAGCATGCTTTGGCCCGGTTGCAGGGAAACCTCCTGCACAGGTTGAGGAAGTTCAGATATATATAGTTGGACAGTAAATAGCATTAAAGTTATGTCATAGCAAAAAGCAGCAGTGTCCCTACGATGTGGAACCAAACATACAGACTTTTGCCACTGTTTGTCACTAGGACATTTATCTTGTTGTTCTGTATCATTGCAGTGTTTTTTCAGTGGCTGGATTCGCACACACACACACACACACACACACACACACACACACACACACACACACACACACACACACACACACACACACACAACCATGACACCCTTACATATCTATTATACTCTTTTCTTTTCAACCACTTGCTAGGATCTTGGCCCTTTTCAGAGAGTTGTCCATTTCCACTCAAATGAGCATGAGCACTGTGCGCGACAGCGGGCCTCTCCTTATCCACACGTCAATAGGGAGTGTTTGCAGAACACCCACTAAGGACCTGAGGGCCAAGGGTCATCAAAACCTCCGTCTTCTCCCTATTTGAACCTTTGACAGCAGCAAAACAAACAATCCTTAAGATCTCATCAGAGGCTTGAACTTGGCAAGGGCTCGCTGGTCTGAATTAACTTTTTCTATTGGTTTGTCTAAGTTTGTCACCTGGCTGGAGTTGGACATTTTCTCATTTCAGATTTTTCTGCTGTAACTATCTAACAACAACAAATCTAAAAACAAGTCCTTGCAATGCTGCACAGACCTATAAATGAAGTTTGAAAATTAGTATATTAAATTAGATTCCTCTTTTTATTGAAAGTGGATAATTATGACACATTAATCTAATTTTCTCTCCTAACATACTTTTTTTAACGTTTGAACGAGTGATCCAATTCACAACTAATATTCAGCAAAATGACGGCATTTCAATTGCAAGATAATTGCGTTTCAATTCAATATTCTCCGTGTTTTTCAGTTTTCAGGTTGTAAAATTTACATATACTGGTTAATGTCAGTTTCTTAAGCAAATGGAATTATTAGTTGTTTTTTTTGTTTGTTTGTTTTTTCCCACTTTTAGCAATAATTGAGAAAAAAGTTTCAATATTATGGCATAAAATATATGCATTATTTAGCTGTACCTCATTTCCTGGCAATAGTCACTCCCATTCAACTTAAAGTGAAATCTATAGTATGTATGTAATCTTGATATCAGTAAATCCACACTTTATGCTCCAGACAATGCATTAATACAGTTTAAAAAGTCCACCCGTATTGATGTAAAACAAGCAAAAAGACAACCCTAAAGTTAGGAAAAAGTAATTATGAAATTCAGTATCAGTAAATGTCTCATTGAATCCTTTTTTTTCAATTTTAAACAAGTGATTTTTCTGGCCTATTCTGGCTCAGATTGCTGGAAGGACAGTAACACGAGAACAATGGGGGACATTCGTTGAATGGTCCCCTGGCCTGAGTTGATTAGGCGTGTTACGTTAACATGATGTGTTACAGTATCATGGACCACTAGCCCACCAGGACTCCCAATTTAACTGAACTTTAAGGATTGCCAGACGTGTGTTTGTGCCTTTTCTGCACGTCTGTGATGGTGCATGTTATGAGCATGTCTGTAGGAGTGTGTCTCATGTTTGTGTCTTTAAGTTTTTCTGTCTGTTTATATCTGCTCTCTGATCAAGTGACCACATGAGAGGGGGGGGGGCTTAGCAGCATCATGCGACCGGACCAATTCTTCCACAGTAAATATGCGGTATTAGGCTTCTCTGTCACAGCAGGGGTCCTGAAGAAACACACACACACACACACACACACACACCCTTTCTCTCGAGCTCACCGCTTCTTTCCTCCGTCTTCCTTGTGCTTCCAGTACCCGCTGTCCCTCCCACCGCCCCAGCCCACCCCC